GCCGGCGCCCCCTGTGAGAAACTGAATCTGCCTCCTCCTGTCTAGCAGAAGGGATAATGACCCGGAGACAAATCAGCACAGAGTGTAGAGATGGGCCTGAGGTTTGTTTGCAATGTGCCTCTCCCAGGGAGGAGGAGGAGGCGCTGGCAGTGCTCTCTAGCCGGGAAACAGCCGGCGGCGTGGTGTCCTGGCTGAGTGCAAGGCCTTTATTTACCCCCGAGAGGGAGGGAGCAGACCTTGGGCTGTCCATCAGAAGGCCAGGCCAGTGCCAATCCGACCAGCTCTTCTTCCCGCCTCATCTCTGAGAAAACACTGGCTAAAGGAAGGGGGCTGGGGGGTGGGCAGAAGCGCCCACCGCCCTGTCCAGGTCCACGGGCGCCTTTGCAAAGCTGCCTTGAAATACGTGCTGCTCGGCCAGCGGCTTCCGTGCAGGTTTTGTTCTCTTCGTATTTGCCCCCGTTTCCTAAATATTTTCACAGGTAGCCGTGCGTTATTTTCACAGCCGCGGGAAAGCATGATGCTGTTTAAAATAGGATGTTTCGGGGCCAGAGAGAAAGGACAGAGGGTACAGCGTGTGCCTTCAGGTGGCTGGACACCCCGGTACCCCCAGGTCCTTCAGGCACGCCAGGAGTGACCCGTGATCACAGAGCCAGACTCAGCGTGTCCCCCGCCCAAATATAGATGAAATGAACTCAGCTGTGTTAGCATGCTACCTAATCTATGATCATCAAAATAAGTAAAATTAAATACATAAATAAAAGGTGTTTTACATTCGAACACTATGTGAATTGAGGGCCGAGTCCAGGGCCAGGGGAGGGCAGGTTTCACTGAGATGTGGAAAAAGGGGACCTCCATGCAAAGTGCTGGAAGGGCGGGCCCCTTGCAGATTTACCTGGGCTCACCGCGGCACCCTATATACCCTGAGCACTGCCAGGCATATCCAAGGCCTACTCCTCAACACAGAGCACTTCACCTTGAGCACCGCCAGGTGTGGGCCAAAAAAAAAACCCCAAAAAACAAAACAAAACAAAAATTGAAAGGCGGCAGGAAGGAGAGAGAAAAGAAAAAGAGAAGGGGGGCGCTGGAGCAATAGCACAGCGGGTAGGGCGTTTGCTTTGCACGCAGCCGACCCAGGTTCGATTCCCAGCATCCCATATGGTCCCCCGAGCACTGCCAGGAATATTTTCCTGAGTGCAGAGCCAGGAGCAACCCCTGTGCATGGCCGGGCCGGGTGTGACTCCCCCCACCCACCCCCCCGCCCCCAAAAAAAAGAGTGAAGAAAAAGGAAGAAATGAATAAATCAGATCAGTCCTGATCAGTCCTGATCAAAGAGAATCAAAACAAGAGACTATGAAGGCTATAATCCCCTGCTAATCCCCTCTGAAGCCATGAGAAAGTCAACTATTTAGATCTTGGAAATCGTTTCTCCCAAGGTCAGACTCTGAACCTCACAGGAATGCAGGAGGGGTTGATATGGCCCCTTCCTCCCTGGAGTCAACACACATGGTGGCCCCCAGGTGCCCCCCACGGCAGAGCCTCAGGAACGCCCCCCACCCCCGCTCCTCTCCCACCCTCTCCCCCACCACGTGATTCCCTGGCCACACCACCAAAGGGTGGTGGCAGGGCTCCCCCGTGGGAAGGATGTGGGAGGGATGCAAGTGCTGGGGGGATGTGGGGGTCCCAGGAAGTGGGCGCAGCCTAGGAAGAGTCAGCGTGAGGCAGAAAGGCCAGGCAGCAGCTTCAGAACTCTAGAGCCCAGAGAGGAGGAGGGGGAGCTCCTCTCACGCGTGTGGAGTTAAGGGAGATGCACTGACCTGGGCCTGAAAACCAGTCAGACCATCGGAATGGGCAACAGAAACAGTAAGAGGCAGAGTAAGACCACACGTGGGAGTGAGACCAAAACGCAGGGCTCGTTCTTTTAAAACCACTAAGAATTTCAAAACGGGGGAGTCGGGCGAGGGGGGCAGGAGCTACAGCTGGCAGCCTGGCTCACGACGTTTAATCCCTGGCATCCAATACGGTCCCGTCCCGGAGCACTGCCAGAGTGACCCGAGTGCACAGGAAGTCCTGAACACTGCCAGAAAACAAACAAACAAAAAAAGAATTTCGAGATGGGGTCTAGGATGCCTGCCCTGTGTGCGGTCGCCCAGTTCAACACATATGGTTCTCTAAGCCCGCCAGGAACAACCCCTGAGTGCAGAGCCAGGAGTAAGCCCTGGGCATTGCAAGGGGTGAACCCCCCCCCACACACAAAACCAGAACAAAACAAAACAATTTCAAGGTAGCAACCCCTGGGCCTTTGAGCAAACAGAAACCCCCTAGGTCTGGGGCCATGTGCCCAGAGGTCACGTGGCCCTGCTGCTCTCTGCCCGAAGCCCTCCAAAACGCCAGCCCCCTCGCCCCCTTTCCTTACAGGATGACTGGCCCAGGGAGGCTTCTGGGACAGATATCACCATTCACAGGGACCGCTCACTGGCGGAGCACAGGATTCATTCAATCCCCTCAAACAGATCAAACCAAAGCAGAACAAAACGAGACCCTCCGGAAATGCACACCTACGCGGAGCCCTTCGAGCTGCTTTGTTTTCCAGAGCTTTCAGCAGCTGACAATTAGCTGCTCTCGTCTCCCTCTTCTCCATCTGGTGACTTTTGCAGAAGGGCAGCAGTTTGGGGTGGGAGGAGTGAGAAGAGGGGTCCTGCTCACCGCCTTCAACAGTGCCCAGTGCCAGAAGCTGCTTAATGAATCGTGCAGAATGCAGTGACAACCCCGTGGTCTGAGGCAGAACTCTCCAACCCGGAGACAGAGGGCCTAAGCCCCAAGACGTCGCAGGAAAACTCGGAGACTGTCATGAAACGTGCCCGAGGAGAGACCCGCAGAGTCCCAAGGTGAAGGCGCTTCAGAGTCAGAGCAAGGCGGGCAGAGGAGGTGGGGTGGAGGGTCACAGGCGAATTCAGAGACGGCAACTGCGAGTGAGCTTTCTAAAGCCAGGCAGGCCAGTGCTGGAGACCGGAGACAGTACGCAGGGGGGACACACTTGCCTTGCACGCAGCCGATCTCGATTCGGTCCCCGGCACTGCATATGCTCTCCTGAGCACCGCCAGGAGTGATCCCTGAGCACAGAGGCAGGAGTAAGCCCCGCGCCCAAGAGCCCAAACCACCAACCCACCACCACCACTACCCACTCCCAGATAAAGGAAGGCCAATCAGCAAGGAGGACGGGGTGTCACTGCAGAGAGGCTCCCAGAGCTCAGGCCGCTTTGGTCTGCCTCCTTCCACGTCAGCAGGATTCCTTGCTGGTTGCTAAGGAACCAAGGCATCAGCTTCATGTTTGCTGCCAATACAGATGTAGCTATGACGAGTATTGGCATCGAGAGCAATACCTCTTGGCCAAAGCATTAAAAAGTTTTTAACAGCCTAGAAAACCCCAATCTGAACTTGAAGAATGCTTTGAGTGTTCCCAGGGGTCCTGCCAACCGCAGAGGCTCTTTGCCTGGACACTGTGGGAAACAGTTAAGTTCTGCCCCGTATTATTTGAACTCCGCAAACCTAAGGGGCCCCTTCGGCCCTGAGTTAGGCAGAGGTGGGGGAACAAGAATTCAGACAGCAGGTCCTGCCCTCCAAGGAGTTGAGTGACTTGTGCTAAGTCTTAGGAAAGCGGAAATGGAGTGGCTGGGGCCTCCCGCAATACTGACCACTTCATTGGCGCTTTCTGCAAGAGGCCCCTGAAGTTAGAAAATTCTACGCTTCATTTCATGCCTCTCCACCAGACAGGTACCAGTACTCCTGGCAAGTAAGGGCAGGAAGGAGGAGCTCTGAATGAGATCACTCAGTGCTAAGGATATACAATGAGCCTCTCACACGTACCCCAACCCATTGAGCTCTCCTGCTCCTGTGTTGTTCCTCTTTGCTCGTTTTGTTTTTTTTTTTAACACTGTCAGACTTCACTAGTGACTCACTGCTTCTAGAAGTAGGCATGCGGCCAGCATGCGTTTTTGATGAACATATGATCACTGCAACTACTTGAAAAACAGACACAAAAGTGACCGAGTCTTAGAAATACGGCAGCGCAGAACCAGACAGGATATAAAAATCTCTCCAGGGCTCATTTAAAAATTATTAATTTATTAGTAACTATTAACACCCTATTTAGCAAATTATGTTCGCAAACAACTTGCCGGTTGTAGAATTACTCCAAACCGGAAAATGTCTGCTCTGAGCCTAAATGAAATTTGTCATCAAGGTCTGATGTTCTGTCCAGAGGCTGAATCCTGGGTACGCTCCGGGAGATCTTTGGGAAAGCTGTCAAGAGAACTTTTCCTTTTGTCAGAGAAAGAGAAGGTTCCTGTCTTGCGCCAAGTTCTGGAAAGGAATGCGTGCTCCTCCTAAGAAGATCTTCCAAAGGATGTATTCCCCCCCCCCCCACACTTTATTTATAAACTAAAAATGCATGCAGTTAGGCAACACTGGACAAAACAGCCCACGCAGTTCAAATTCCTTTCTGTGTCCTGGTCCTCCCTGGCAGCTCTGGGTGAAGCGTTAGGAATCCCAGGGCCAGGGTGTGGCTCAAAGAAAATTTATCAGACATTGTCAAGTTGGGGGTCTCCAAACTTATCTGCAGGTAGTGCCAAGTTGGGGATCCCCAAACTTATCTGCAAGTAGTGCCAAGTTGGGGGTCCCCAAATTTATCTGCAGACACTGCCAAGTTGGGGGGTCCCCAAATTTATCTGCAGACACTGTCAAGTTGGGGGTTCCCAAATTCATCAGACACTATCAAGTTGGGGGTCCCCAAATTTATCTGCAGACACTGCCAAGTTGGGGCGTCAAAGTCAGCTGGGGGGTTGGGGGGGTTAGACCCGTTCCTCCTCCCGGAGCTCCCGGTGCATGCACGCACGACCCCGCTCTCCTCCCCACTCTGCAGGGGGGCGTGCGCGGGGCGGGGGGCGGGGGGGGAGGGGGAGGGGAGGCGCGCCGAGGGGGCGGGGGCCGGGCCGCCCACTCACCAGGTCGCGGATGAGCTGGTCCACCAGCTGCTCCCCGCCCCCGGGGCCCTCGCGGGCCGGCGGCGAGCGGGAGCGGCTGGCCGCGTCCTGCCTGTCGGCCCGGCCGGCCCTGGCCGCGGGCGGCCGCCCCGCGCCCTCCAGCAGCCCCTGGGCCAGCGCCAGGTACCCGGAGGCCGGCTCGGGCCTCCGCGCGCGCCCGCGCTCCGCAGCCTCGGGCCGCCGCCGCTTCCTCAGCGCCTGCGACTGCGCCAGCTCCTCCTGCCAGCGCCGGCGGAACTCGTCCAGGCCCTGCGCGTCCATCGCGGCCGCCCGCGCCCGCCGCCGCCACGGGACAGTCCGGCCGCCGGAAGTGCCCGGCGCCGCCGCCGGAAGCCGCCGCCGCCGCCGCCTCCGCGCGGGTTCCGGCGGGCAGCGCCGCCCCCGCGAGCCTTTGGTTCCGCCCGCCGGGCTCGGGGCTGCGTCGCGCCTCGCGCCGGCCCCGCTGCGCTGGGGAGGGCGCCCCGTGCCCCGAGCCGAGCGGCCCCCGCGTGGCTTCGGGCAGCGTGGTCGTTGGCTCGCGCGCTTCTCGCCACTGTTGCGAAGAGAAAAAAATTGGCCCGACCCGGCGTCTCCTGTGGTCCCCCACCCCGCCGAGAGTGATTATTATTATTATTACTTTTTGCTTTTGCTTTTCCGGTCACACCCGGCGATGCACAGGTGTTGTTGCTCCTGGTTTTGCACTCAGGAGCCCATGTTGGAAATAGAAAAAAATTGGCCCGACCCGGGGTCTCCTGTGGTCCCCACCCTGCGGGGTGCCGCCGAGAGTGGTTTTTTTTTTTTTTTTTTTTTTTTTTGCTTTTTCAGTCACACCCGGCGATGCACAGGTGTTGTTCTCCTGGTTTTGCACTCAGGAGTTACTCCTGGCGCTGCTCGGGAGACCCTATGGGACGCTGGGCGTCGAACCCGGGTCCGCCGTGTGCAAGGCAAACGCCCTACCCTCTATACTATCGCTCCAGCCCTCGCCCAGAGTGATTTCTGAGTGCAGTCACTGAGCACCGCCCGGGGTGACCCAGATAAGCCACAGCAACAACATAAGCCAAAACAAAGTGCCACAACAACAACAAGGGGGCTTGTTCCATCTCCCCTCCCAGCCCTGAGTATCTCACCCCCTCCGGTTTCTGCCTGGGCTTAAAGCAATCAATCCGGATTTCCCCTGATCCTCACCAGTGAGGTGAATGCCTCTCCCCGCTTTCCTCTCTGGGCAGGTGGCTTTACCTGAGCGCTTTTATTAATAACCTGGTGCACCTCTATCTGCAGTCAATATAAACCTCCCATTTTTTGCATGGCAGCTTGTAAGGCCTTTGCAGCTGTTAGCTCCCGCCTGCGGCTGCAGGGTTCAATAAAGTCATCCACCCCCTTGTTTGTTTTTCTCTTTGACATTTTGCACTGAACTCTTAGCTGCCAGTGGCAGAAAATCCAATATTTAAATCAGTTCCCTCCTCCCCCGCCCCAAATGCCTTCTTGGGATTTGCACTGGAATGTGCTGGGCGAGAGTCTCCATTAGGAAGGTCGGGAAGGGGCCTCTCATATGTCATCTGAATTAAAAAAAAACTGCAGGCAGCTGGAGCAGAAAGATATGGCAGGGATACGGTGCTTTTCCTTGCATGTACTCGCTCCACGCAGGTTCAGTCCCTGGCACCCTATATAGTCCGTCCCCTGAGCTCTGCCAGGAGTGATCATGGGCACAGAGCCAGGGGTAAGCCAGGGGTCTGGTGTGACCCAATTGAAAAGAGCAAAAAGCTAAATGAGGAAAGCGGGCTGCCACTGGAAGATGGGGCCTCAGAAGAGAGAATTCCAGAACTACACGTGTACAGAGCAAAAACAGTCAGACAGTGATGTTCCTCCTTCAAAGTACTTTGTACCAAGGAGAGAAGTCCTTGAGTGCCACTGGTGTGGTCCAGTCTCCCCACAAATAAACAGACAAATGCTCTGGACCTGCTGTTCCTTTCTTAGGGTGTTTGCTCCCCATTCTGACCTGATGAACTCTTACACATTTCACATCTCAACCGCTATCTCACTTCACACCCAACCCCAGGTCCCCTCCACCATCCAAATGGGGGGGGGGGGAAATCCTTCTTAATTCTCCTGCAGTATCCCATACCTCTCATCGGAAGGAAGATCATTAGCAATTGTGTATATGAGAAGCTGTACAGGCTGGCCGCCTTCCCTACTGGACTCTTAGTTTGGAAGCTGGTGGTACGTGTGCAGTGTTCGTCAAATGAAAAGCAACGCTTACTGTAAAAAATATCATCCATTTCCCCTTTATAGATGAAGAAACTGAGTGGAGAATCCCATGGCTGGTAGTTTTTAGACCCAGAAACCTAAGGCTCTTTTTTGATCCAGACCTGACTTGTTGAATATTATACCCAACAGTCTTCATGCCGGAGTCAGTGAGGACCGCTTATGTGACCTCTAGTAATCCTGATGTTAAAACATGGTTAACGACTGCCCAGGCTCTAGAGGCAGACCCAACTTCCTTACTTACTCACACCCACTTTCTTTGAGCAATTCCACTTCTAGGAACTTATCCTAGGGCAGGTGGAAATTGAGAATGAGTTCAAATACCTTCAAGATGCTGATGAAAATATTATTTATGGGGCTGAACATCAGAAGCAATCTAAATGATTAGCAAACAGGATGCTACTTCAAGTATGCCCCCATTACAGCATAATAAAGACTGACAGCTCAGGGCAATTTATACCTGGATGGACCTTTTAAGGAACCTCGGTGGAAAAAAAAATACCTCAGGATTGTCTTAAATGGATAAGAGGGAGAAGAAGAGAATATTCACCTACCAGTGCCCCCGTCATTTGAGAAAGATGCGGTCCAGTTTTTTTCATCACCTCTCTCTTCCAGGTTAAGTATAAGGCAGGGAATTCCCATGCTGATTACATACCAAGTTGGCATAGATGCATTGGGGAAGAGATGGAGAGAATCCCTCTGTGGCTTATAAGAGGGACTGTGACTTCTATCTGTAGAGTCAGGCACTGTGGCCAAGACCAAAATCAGAGGTGGACTGACAACTTGATGCAGAGCCTGTGTGTTCAATACAAACGTCCCTTTTGGCAATGAAAAGATGAGTGATTTGTTCTCAGACATGCATTCAACAGACCCCTTTGTTCTAGACGCTTCCCATATGGAATTCCAACTTGAGCAAACGTGTTCTGAAGATCTGTTTGTGGGCCCGCAGACAGAAGGGCGTCTTCTATGATTTCTAGAACGGATGGCACATCTAGTATGTAAACTAGAAAGCAAAATGGGAATGTTTTAAACACCTGGTTACGATGCCCGCCCCTCCTACCCAAACCAAATGTTTCCTTTGGTCCTTTTCAATGAATGTTTTCAGGGGTAAAGCAGCTAGCATCCTAATGAGACCATTCCCTGCTACCCCTCAAAAAACACAAGACAGAGGAAGCAAAGAGAGGCATGCCTACTCTCCTTCCACACGATTACTATTCATTCTGTGTCTTTCTAAGAATAAATTCCTGGCTCTCAACTTCTTCAAATTGAAAAAGAAATAGGGAGGCCAGAGCGATTATACAGCAGTTAGGGTGTCTGACCTGGGTTCAATTCCCAGCTTCCCATATGGTCCCCCAAGCACCCCACCCTTCCCCAGCAAGGGTGTCCCTCACACACCCTCATATTCTATGCACTTAAGTCCTTTGGTGGTAAGCAATAAGTCGTGCTAAGTCCCAAGGAATGGGTGTGGGCAGATTTTTTTTACCTAGCTAGAAGGAAAGACAGAAGCTGGAGCAATAACAGAGCGGGTAGGGCGTTTGCCTTGCACGCAGCCAGCCCGGGTTCGATTCCCAGCATCCCATGTGGTTCCCTGAGCACCGCCAGGAGGAATTCCTGAGTGCCGAGTCAGGAGTAATCCCTGTGCATTGCCAGGTGTGACCCAACAAGCAAAAAAAAAAAAAAAGCTTTTTAATGTAGGAGTACTGCTATTTATTCAGCCACTGATTAGCTGATTGAATTGGGCATGAACTCCACCTTACCTTTTTTTTTTTCATTTTTTATAATTTTATTTATCGAATCACCATGAGAGCAGTTACAAAACTTTCAGGTTTAAGTCTCGGTCCTCGCCAGGGCCCCTTGGAGGGGAGCAGGTTGAGCTTTCCTCCCCGCCCCGACCAGGGCTCTGGCAGCCGAAGATCTCCAGGACCAGCCACCACCATGCTGAGACCACTCTCCGCACACCTGAAGGTACCAGCAGAGGAGCAAAGGCAAGCGGGTCCCGGGGCTGAGATCTCCAAGTCTACTCGCATTCGCGGCCGTGCGACATCTTATTATGACATCTTATTATCTCATTCCTACTTTGGACAAACTGGCAGGCTACCGAATGTAACCTGCCCACATGGCAGAGTCTGGCAAACTCCCCGTGGCGTACCCAATATGCCAAATACCAGTAACAATGATGGGTCTCATTCTCCTAAAGAGCCTTGAACATAGCACTTTCTTAAAAATCTCAGGGCTAGGATGAAGGAGACATTACTGGGGCCTGCTCGAGGCAATCGACGAATAACAGGGTGGTCGTGATTCGTGATTCATACAATGAAACACCCATACCTTCACCAGTGCCCATTCTCCACCACCAAAAACCCCAATGTACCCCCATCCCACACCCTCCCTCTACCTGTGGGGCAGATGATTTCCACATTTCTCTCTCTCTACTTTGATCACATTCAATATTTCGACACCAGACCCACCATTATTATTTGAGATTTTACCCCAACACTCAGATCTGCTGAAAAGGCAACAGTAGACAATTTGTTTTCTATTGCTGGTTATGAATAACGTATGATGTCACATGGCTGCAGTAGGGCCATGTGATTTTGAAATTCTTAAATTTTAACACTTAAATCTGGAGGGATTTCTGCCAAAAACCACTGGGTTTTGAGATTTGCTCCTGAATCTCTGGGATCATGGCCATTGAGCAGCTTGATCAGGAGCCAGAGAGGCCATTCGTGGGTGATGACTTGGGGTCTCGTTGGGACGGGGAAACCAGGACCGGCTCCACCCCCATCCTGTGAGACCCAACAAGTTTCGTCACTTCGGGTCCAGACCTGACTGTCCAATGGCCTCTGGAGGATGACGGCCACCGAGCCGCCAGGGGGAAGCAGGTGGAGGGACGACACCCTTCTCCCCCCTGGGGTGGCCCAGTGACAGCAACCTACTATGGGGTCTGGACACATTTCTGCCAAAAGCCGCTGGGTTTTGAGGTTTGTTTCTGAATCTCTGGGACCATGGCCGTTAAGAAGCTTGATCAGGAGCCAGAGAGGCCATTCATGGGCGATGACTTGGGGTCTCCTTGGGGTG